TCTTCCACCATATCACTGCAATTTTAATTTGGTAGAACTGATATGGGGACAGCTGAAACCCAGTTTAAGAAGAAACAACACCTCGCCGAAATTTAGTTTTGGGCCAGCAGGATTGATTAGAAGTGAAGTAGAAAAACTCCTTCTAGTTGGAAAAAATGTGTAGAACATGTCATCGAAGAAGAAAATGTTTACAGAAGTCGACTAGTGCCAAAATTAATTATTAATATAAATAGTCGCTTTTGATGCAGCATAACTTTTTTTTTCTAAATATTGTAACATTATTTTATAGCTAAATTTACTCCTTCGTATATATTTTCACTGCATTTATAATAAAAATATTAATAATAATCCGGAAATCTCACCGATGAAACTCTACACAAATCCGTCAGCTTTCAGCATTTGTATGCACGAAGTACCGAAGTATGGTTCTGGAACATCATTATGGAATTGCGAACCTATCGGGTGTCCCGAAAGGGCAGGGGGTATTTGTAAATTCAATTAAAACCAAACCACAAGTCAGAATATATATATATATATATATATATATATATATATATATATATATATATATATATATATATATATATATATATATATATATATATATATATATATATATATATATATATATATATATATAATTTTACAGCAGATATTGGAAAATTAATTGGCAAAGATTATGTTGTCCAAATGTTGACTCTCGCTTTGTTGGCATTACTCTAAACGAAATCGGAAATTAGCCACCACGCGTCTACACATCTTTCCGAAAATGGCGGCCATTTCGGTGTGAATATTGTGGTTCAGTTGCAGTAGAGTTCATGGTTTATTTGCGTAAACTTTCTGCTTAAGATATCTCCACGTAAAATAATCAAGGGGTGTCAGATCGGGGCTTCTCGGGGGACGAGAGATCACTTTTTCTGGGAAAAGTTGAGTGACAACCGCAAACGATTGGTTTGATGTTTGGCAAGTTGCCCATCTTGTTGAAACCATGTCTCCAAACTAAAACCTTCAAACTCCTGTAATTGTGGAGCCAAAAAGTTCCGTAACATGAAACAATACCGCTCACTATTTACCGTAAGTGGTCGCCCTCGCCGATCTTCAAAAAAACATGGCAGGCCACACGATAACCTTTGGACTATGTAGTGGTCGTTCATGTTTTTCTCTCCGATTTTCGTTGGACCAGAAGCGGCAGTTTTCTTTGTTTACGTGCTCGTTTAAGTGAAAATTCGCTTCTTCACTAAACAGGATGTTTTCAAACGTTGGGAAGCGTTGAAGCATTTCATTTGCAAAATTCAGTCAAAGAGGATAGTCGGTAGGTTTCAGTTCCTGCACGAGCTGAATTTTGTAGGCTGTAAGATGTAAATCTTTCTTCAAAATAGTGTGCAACGACGACTTTTTAATGTTAAGGCCTTGACCTCGTTTGCGAACTACTTGAGAAGGATTTTGACGCACTGAAACTCTCACTTGTTTAATCGCTTGTTGGCTTCGAACAGAGCGTGGGCGACCTGGATGGTGAATTTTCACAGTCGAACTGGTATTCTCAAACATTCGAATCCATTTTCGGATGGTATCGTCTTTCGGTGCCTTCCGTACATTAAATTCTGCACGATATAAACGTTGAGCTGATACGATCGAGTCACTATTGCAATAATAAACTCCTATGCAAAAAGCACGATGGTTTCCCGGGTACGCTCCCATGGTTCCTGAACCTCCAATTAATGGCGAAGCATGCTATCCTATCCACTCCCTCACCAATCGCGCCGTTCTTCGGACAACGCCGATATAAATACCCTCCCACCCATTCTGGACAGCATGTTTTTATTTAGGGTTACAAAGAGAAACCCAAGCGAGGTAGGTCTGCGTTTAGACCATCATTAAAATTTACCAAAGTTAGATACCGGATTATGTCGTAAAAACGGTATATCTTTTGGAGAACTCTATTTTGGCTGTATGTAAAATGTACTCAAACCGTAATAGTCGTAAAAAAGTATAAAATGAGTACACGTTGAAAATAAATTTCTTCAGTAACTCGTCTGCGTTTCAGGTCAGTTTTCTTAGTAGGATAGCATCACTAAATCAACAAAAAATTGTTGAATTAGACAAAGGGAAATTGAAAAAAAAAACCTGTGTTTGATGTTGAAAAATAATCGGTCTATAGAAAATCTATGCTTTCACCCAGCTTATAAGATAAACATTTCGTTCAACTTTGTAAAGACATCGCCCGCGTGTGGGCTTTTAGCTCCGCTTCAAAAACGCTAATTGCGGCAACCCGATTATCGATTGCAAATCCGTTTTAATATCGCAAGACGGGCATTGAAAACGAAGGTCCCGAGAGCTTTTTGTGCTTCACGTTAACGATGACATTTTTTTCAGGATTATCTGAAGCATCTGAAATCTGAAGGCACTAAAATCGAACCGAAAATTGAGGTGGGAGAACGAAATCTGGTGACCTAATATGATGATAACGATAACATTCATTCATTACTATATTGTATTTAATTTTGAATTTGAATCATTGACCTGGAAAGTTTATGTACATATATATATATATATATATATATATATATATATATATATATATATATATATATATATATATATATATATATATATATATATATATATATATATATATATATATATATATATATATATATATATATATATATATATATATATATATATATATATATATATATATATATATATATATATATATATATATATATGATGATGATGATGATGATGACACTATATTCCGGGATATCATCCGTTCGCTCGTTGAACTCCGACTGGAATCCTGCATCCGACTGCATCCACTGAGTGTTCGAAGTGTTTTCGGAGCGCGAGCATTGAAGATGCCAAGTGAGATTTTGGCGAAACGTCTGCAGGATTCCAGTCGGAGTTCAACGAGCGAACGGATGATATCGCGGAATATAGTGTCATCACATTTTTCCATCCGTGAATCAATACGTGAGAATATATATATATATATATATATATATATATATATATATATATATATATATATATATATATATATATATATATATATAATCTATCTGACCTAGAGTACAGAAAAAAAGCTATATATAAGGCTAAGTACACACTTAAACTAAACGATTACCCAATTGCCCTAATTAACTCTATTTTTAAAAGAAGGATACATAAATTCTAAAAACTAACCAAAACACATAACCATCAAAAAGAGAATATTGTTCGTTGCCATACATACCAAATCTATCGTCAAATTTTGTTAAATAGAAATTTCAGTAAACTAAAAACACCAATACCCAAAGATAAAAAAAGTCACATTGTGTATCAAATACGGCGCAACGACTGAGACTAAGTGTACATTGGACAGACTAGCCAACTGTTGCAGAACCGCATCAATGGCCATAAGTCCGACAAAAAAAACAAAACAGCCATCAGCAGTCATATAACGGAGAAAACACATACTTTTAACTTCGATGACACAAAAGTACTTGCTACAGAACCAAACACACAAAAAAGGGAAATAATTGAGATGATACATATTCAAAGGAATAAAATCTTATAAACGCGAAAACCGACATAAAACACCTGAGTGAAACCTATTTCGAATTGTTAAAGTAGACCATTTTAATGCTCAGACGCTCCACCGCGTATCAATAGGTCTTAAACTTACACAAACGTACACTCTAAAAAAATAAATAAATAAAAACTAAGAGGGAAAAAAAAGACATCAGATACAATGAATGTTTATTTTCCACTTCTATTTTTGATTCGAAGGGTAGCAAAGCAAGAACGTTATTGTTTTAAAAAAAAATTAATAAATTTGTGAGTATGACTAATATATGTAATTTGTTTTTGTAATATTTGTAATTTTTAAATTCGTATATGTCCACTGTTTAAGATATTCTGTGTTAGACGTTTTATTTTTTGATAGCGAACTAATTCTTTGCATGATCGTGCTTTTTTGTCCTTTGATTTCAGTTTTTGAGAAAGACCTGGGTTGCCGGTCGAAACGTCAATGACAATTACAGTGTTTTAAAATTATTTGTGTGTTTTGTTAACTGTGGATCAAACCCCATGAAACAACCTATAAAAAAAATATTCTTCAAAAAAAAAAAGAAAAATACAGATACAGAAGAAATGCAGTTTTTAAAATCATGTTCATCATTTTCTTTTTTATTTTTATAAATGTTAATAAAAAATAAGTTTTGTCAGTTTTCAGGATTTCTATTTGTTGGCACGAAGTCGACGCAACATACGAAACAGAAGTTTTTGAAACGCCCTGTATGAATAAACTGAGTTTCAAATAATGTGGAACACCAGCTGAATTGTCTAATATTGAGTATAGTTTCAAAATTTTCAGAGGTGCAAAGTGTCAATGAGAGTGATATCGGATTCTTTTTTGAAACCCGGTCTGTTATACAGGATGTATCTTGTATCTTTTAAAATTAGAACTAAACAATAACACATACCGTCTAAACTGCATCAAGGAATAAATGGTAAAGAAAGTTTCCATTATCAGCGGCGCGCAAAAAGGGCTTCATGAAATTTCAAAATAAGTTTTGCATTCTTTTAAAAATTTTAACATTTTAAGAGTTTAAAACGGTAATGAATCGATAAAGGTTGAAATTGATTTAATAATGTCGTTTGTTTTTGTACATTTGATGTGTATATATGTCTAATCGTATTTTCTTTGTAAATTCGCATTGTAAAAAATTGTAAAGATGTAGCCAGATGTTTATCCAGTGATTCACGCAAGTTCATAGAAGTACTTTCCAAGATTCCCCATCTTTTTCAAATTCTTCTCCAAAAAATTGAAATTTCATTCACACGGCCAAATAACAAGAAGAGGTTTTCAAAACACCGGGACCAACTGGCGTATAAAAATTCAATATCGTCAAAGAAATATTTTAAATGAGGACAATTGTATTGTCCCAGTTTACATACTAAATAGAGGTGCACAAATTTTGCGAATGATAAACCAACTAGAATCATCGAAAACTTACGTGGTGAAGTAGATCCATTGTTTGGCCAGTATTTGTCCCAGAGCCATTATAGCGAACCGATCGGAATTTTGCTGATCATTGCAATCTGAAAGAAAATCATTGGTTAAATGCGTTAATTTACTATATAGAGTGTTATCGACACAACTTGATATAATTTAATGGGTACTAGCTTCCCACAAGGATGATGAATGGTAATTGCGAAACATATTTTTTCTATTCCCTACTCTAAATTGTGCAATTACAAAGCGATTCAGTGTCTCCTTAAGAGCACAGCATCCAAAATCTTCGCAATGTTCCGAAATATACTCAAAATACTTTAATGTTTCACAATAAATTTACTGTGGTATAGCAACCGGCATTACATTAGCCAAGTGCGAAGTTAGTATAATTAATGAAATCCTAGCTGTTTTCATTATTTAGAAGTGTATAAAGTAGGACCCTAAGACGACCTGTAAAATTTCTGCGACATTGGTGGGTTTTGGTCGAAAGCTCGTAAGAATTATTCATGAGCATTTACGATCCTGTTGAAAATGAGTAGGCACATTCCGTATAACCTTCTGATTTGTTTTCTCGCGTTTATATTGGTCTGACAAGAAATACTAAATAAGAAATAAGAAATCAATTAAGGTAAATCCCACCCATCTGGAGTGTCTAGCTTTAGAATGACTCCAAAATTAAGATTTTTTATTCAAACCTTTCAAAATTACGTCTTGATAGAGCTTCACGTATTTATTTTAAAAAACATTTATCTCATTTTCTGGAGGCATATTTATCGGACATATTAATCGAATTTTTTGATTTGTTTATTTCATTTTAACAGTCTTTCGAAAACTAAGATAGGAAATGTCACACTTCTACAAATTTTGACTCAAAATTGAGGAAATTCCGATTTTAATTGTTTTTTTCTCAAAACGACGTGAAGTAGTAATAAGAAAATTTGATTAGTTAAAATGTCAATGTTAATCGAGATGTTCCGAGGAAACTCATTTTGAACGCTTGGTATAACATTTTTGTTTGCCAAATCAACAATCAAAGCATTTGTAACGAATTACGAATTAATTTTTTGGACTCTTTTTCTTGGACAACTTCTGTTCAACATACTTTATGTTGAAAATCAATACTTTTTTAAATAAAGCTACCACAATCCTATTTTTTATTATATCAAAATATTACGGTTACTTACACCTCGTTTAAAGTGCAATTCAATAAAATATGAAAAATAAAATTTGTGGTCATTTAAAAAGAAAGCAGTTGTGGAGAATTGAATTTTTTTTTATCAGTTTTCCTAAATTTATAATAGAATTTTTATAGTTGTCAACAAACAATTTAATTTGACTTTATCTAAAACAATCAACAATATATTTTTAAAACGCCCTAAAAAATTCTGGGCTAAACTGAATTAAAAAAACAGTATTAACAATCTAATTAGAAATTGATTTTGAACGGCAACGCTATATACCGTATCGCACATCCAGCTTCCGAGGAACAAGCGCTGAATTATGTGTTTTAGAATAATTCGGACAGCGAATGTTGAAACAATTCCGGCAAATGAACGCGTGATTTTCCGAAAATATATGGACTAGAATACTAATTTAGTTTGCCCGACTGGTTTACAACAGCAGTGCTAAATTCTAAATGGAAACTGGATATCCAATCAAAGACCTAAATTATGCGGCGAAAGTATCGCGAGGCTGATGGTGTTGGTTTATGTGTCAAATGTAATTTGAAAGTTTACTAATGCTGTAATAAGAATCGAATATAATAGAATGGAACAAAATAACTTTTTTCTACTCCCGTCTGTAAAATACTTAATTACATCTAGCGTGCGGGAAGCGGCTCTTTACCTCGTCAGTTTCGTTTCCCACGAATCCGAGTCACTTCGGACATTTCCGAGATTTTACCACACGGGTTTGGGAGCAATCGGATGTTTTCGGAGATATTTCTCACGTTTTGAATTTTGACGTTTGTCAATTCTGACGATCATGTCAGTAAAAGTATTCGTGCTGTTTTGCGAAAATGTACCCAAAAATATATAAAAAGTATAGTATGCAACGCGTTCGCTAAACTTGCCGTTTACCACACCTGTTTCATAATATACTATTTTCTACTCCTCTACACCGATCTAGCGTGCGGGAAGCATCATTTTACCACATCAGTTTCGTTTTCCATGGATCTGAGCCATATTTTCTACGCCTTGAATTTAAGCCTTTCTTGATTCTTTATTTAAGTAGGCAGTCGCTGTAGATTAAAGATTTTTATTATCATTTGGTCAGGAGACTTCTCCCACAGTCTAGAGAATTAATCAGGACTCTCAGCTATTAACTAGTCCAGTACACTATAAATGGCCATGACTTGCTTGGCCCATCATTTAATGGAAGACTCCTTACCATCATTCAACCAAGCAATAAACCAATAAAAAGCCGCTTTGCAAGCGTTTATCAGGACAGAAATTATAAATGCATTTGCGTCTTCCAGTAGTAGTGTTAGTATGTTATATTTAGACCGCGGGTTGAAGAAAATTTGAAAAAATTGAAAAGTGTCATTTGAATCCTTTTACGAGTACTTATATGAAATGTAAAATTTAGGAGAAAATAAAATCGTTAATAGCATTATTACAGTCACCACCATTTATCGTGTGTCGTATTATAATTAACCTGCTTGTACCTTAAAAAGGTGAATACTAAGTTAGAAAATGCAAATACAGACCAAAAACAAGATGTCCTTAAATAACCACTGTCTCTACACTTGTGCAATGTGCAATCAATCCATAATATAAGGACTATAATACGTTATATGATACATCTTAATTACTGTAAAAAATTTCCGAAATATTTATTCAGTCAAAACAATGGAAAATAGTAAAAGTCGTACCCCGTATATCAAGCACTCTTTGGTATTTGATACACATTTAGCAAATGCCAAAAGTTTATCCAGTAAACTTTTTCATGCCTATCTAAATCTGGTCAGATAGGTTTTTGGCTATTTTCTAGCGATCTAAAATATTTTCAGTATCACAATATTGCTGCTTGTATTAAAGAGTATCGACAACTTGGATTGTTTTAATGGGACAACCTATACATGATTTCTTTTTTTCCCTATGTCAGTTTCTGATCATTTTTGCAAAATATTTTAATTTTAAATTTAATTTAAATTCTCTCTCGATGAATTAGTTAAATATTTATGAAGATGAAATTTTGGCCGGAATTTGTCAGTACTGTGGGTACTAGTTCTGTGTATAGTTATAACTTATGCAATCTACAGAGTGGTTCAAAAATCATGAATTTTCCCTCTTGCACAAATTTGGCAAAAAGTCATTTTGTTCAAATGGAATTACTTGTTTATTATTAAATATTTTGACATATAATCTAGTCAATAAAACGTTTGCTTATCAAGGCGGTTGTCTGTTGTCAATTTTTACACTTCAATGTGATAAATAATGATATTTATAATGATATAATAAGATATAACATATAATAAATAAATATTATACAAAATTGGTCAGAAATTGATAGCGGAGGGAAAAGGCGACTCCGGTTTTTCCAAAACGCCTAATGCTCAATTAACCGCGAGACACCTACACTTCGTCGCATATTATAAAAGAACCAAGTCACGTGCAAAGCTCGATTAAGTATTTTTCTGTTTACACTTTCAATTCTTTAAATGGCGTTTGATATCGACCTCAAAACTTCAAACTCTAAATTAATATTCTGCCTCGTGCAATAATCGAGAATATTGCGATAAAATTCCTATTATTAAGTCACTAAATTGGGAGGATATTTAGGTATACCAATAATAAATTTTCGTCAGAACCACGACAGTTTCCTTTGAAAGGGCCGTGCGATCTTTTTTGAAAAGAGCACTTGTAATAAAAACGGCACGAATATAATCTGTTCCTCGCATTTAAATGCGCTACACGTACATTTTAATAGCCGTTCCGGTAAAAGAGCTTCCCCTTTGAACGGTATCCTCGTATAAGAGAGAGAAAAATGTAAAATTCATTTAGCGCTAAGCAAAAATATTTTAAAATGTCGCGTTGATAGCACGGTCGGAAATCCGAAAGCGAAAAGTGGACCGTTGAATGGATGGCGTGCTAGGGAGAGGTGACGCGGGGGAGGGCCTTTTTGACGACTAAATTGGGCCCGACGCGTGGATTATGTTTTGGAATCCTCTCTTTTTTGTCTCAAACAATTCGTCCACTTATTTTTTTTTTTGCTGATCGGCGCTGACTGCTTTAAACCGACTTAATTGGGCGTGGAGATGTTTTGCGTTTTCCACTGTTTGAATTAGCGAGCGTTCCGGGAGGAGTTGCAGTATTATAATTATTATTGCTTGCCGCTTTCAATCTAGAACTCATTGGCCGCTAATTTCCTGGTATTTCCTGAAGTATCATTATGTTAGATTGTGGTGAAGCCTTAATTAATTATTAATAAATTATTTGTGAATATTTAAGCCCATATGTGCAAAGGAAGTAGTTTTTTAGTGCCAAATTCTGGCACTATAAAATAAGTATACAAATCGCCAGATCTGCTGGCCCGTTCTCTCCCCTTATGAACGGATGCATATTCTAACAGGGTTTCAGTGTATATTTTTGATCCGATTCTGTCTGAGATTTTTGTCCAACAAATTAATTCTTTTTGGCCTAATAGACCCATTCCCGCCACTTGTTTCTTTAACTCTTCTCAAAGGATGCGAGGGGGTTACCAATTTCATTTCAATTTCGTTGCTATCGATGTTGTCCAAACTGAGTGAGCAATTTTGAATTTGGATTCAGCAAAAATAGTAGCACCAATGCAGCTATGCTCAGCTGTATAACTCTATCACTACTAGATCACTCCATGAATAGTAGTAGTAGGTGTTGTCTGTAGCTGTAGAGTCAGAGTCAGCAAACTCAATATCGATTCACTGACATTCTCATCAACAAAACAACTATATCAACAAAGACTCAAAGACAAAATAGACAGTAATCATATTACAAAAACTGACAATGTCGAAACTGCCTGGCAAAGAATAAAATCAAACATTCTGCAAGCCGCCGAAGAAGCTGCCGGAAGAAGAATTTCAAACAAATATACCAAACCAAACACT